ACTCGAACAAATAGCGCGCTTCGCTGGGGGGATAAGGATAAGGATGATTGTGGATTGTAAGACCTGCTCAATGAGCAGGGCTCATTCGCTGGGCAAACACGACGTTCCTGCTTCAACATTTCTGCTAAGCTTTAAGTGGACACCCATTCAGCCAAAATAAACACGCCTTGAGTTGGAGTGCTATATAGTGGGTCTGGGTCTCGGGGAGATTGAGATTGAGCCATCCATCTGGTCATCATCTCGGGGGCTCCAGCGCCAAATGGAGCAGCCTCTCGAGGATCCCTTGCTGTCCAGCTCCTTGGGTATTTATGCCAATTAGCTCTTGTAAATGCTAATTAGCTGGCGGAGCAAGAGTCACAGTCGCAGGACGGCCAGGAGGCGGACAGCTGATAAATTAGCCATGAATATTCAGCGGCCACGCGCAACGTTATTTTCCGCAAAATTAAATTATACATTTTTAAGTTGGCCCAGCTCGGACCGAAAAGAACGAAAGCCGAAAGGCCTGGCCTCTTCATAATTCAATCTACACTGTCGCAAAAAGAGGCATTTTAAGCTTTATCCGAAGAATGAGCTACAGAAATCACAGGGGTTTCGAAATCACCTATAAAAGCAACCAAAAGTATGCAATAGTATATTTATACCCGTTACTCGTAGAGTAAAAGGGTTTATTGTATTCGTGCAAAAGTATGTAACAGGGAGAAGGAAGCGTTTCCGACCCCATAAAGTATATATATTCTTGATCAGGATCACTAGCCGAGTCGATCTAGCCATGTCCGTCTGTCCGTCTGTCTGTCCGTCTGTCCGTCTGTCTGTCTGTATGAACGCTGAGATCTCAGAAACTATAAAAGCTAGAAGATTGGCATTTTGCATGCAGATTTTAGGAGTTCCTACGCAGCGCAAGTTTGTTTCAAAATGATGCCACGCCCCCTCTAACGCCCACAATCGCTTATATACGATTTAAAAAATTTTAATATTTTGGAAAAGTAAAAATGCAGTTTTATTGTGTTTATCAATACCTATCGAATTGTAGAAGAAATGTAGAAATTTTTCAAATCGGACCATTCGTTAAAAAGTTATGCGTGATCAACGTTTTCTAACTCCATCTCCCTCGCACTCCCTTTACCTGAGTAACGGGTATCTGATAGTCGGGGCACCCGACTATAACGTTCCCTCTTGTTTACTGAATAATTTTAGGCACTTTAAGAAACTGTTTTTTTCCGGAAGTAAACTTTAATCGCAGAAATCACAAGGGACTTAACAACATTTATAAAAGTGTCTAAAAGTATGCAATACATTTTTTCTAGAACGGTGCTCTTTATTTTACTACATAGTTTTAGACACCGTTATAAGCAGTTTTAAAATCCCAGTAATTTCAAAATATTAAGAAAATCGTTTTTTAAATATTTCTGTGACACTTCTAATGATATACTTATGATTTAAAAACTCACATTATATTTTTCAGCCAGTGTAAGCATAGCCCCATCATAATTATCCACTCGAATATTTACCCTGTCGTCTTTGCTCCCGATTATGATGATTGCTCGCCTCTGGCCAAGTTGGCCATGCCTTTGGCGAAATCATTGACGACGAGTACACTTCCTCGGGTCAGAAGTTGCTATATAGCCAAGCTGGCAATGTTCCGGCAAATGTATTGCGCAAAACGGCGTGGAATTGCCTTTAAAAACGCATCAAATTATGCCGGGATGGAGGAGCCCCTTCAAATTAGTGCACACAAAGTCCTGGCAAATGGGGAATGGAAAGTGGGCTGGGTAGTTGGCTACTTGGCGTATTTACCAGGCGCTTAACCGACTTTCCCTGGTTGGTGGGAAAAATATATTGGCAGTGCGGATAGCTGGCTGGATGGCTGACTCTCTGCGCTGGCAAAAGTGCTCCACAATGGCACTCGTTCAGACAATGTTAAATGCGCGCTCGTTGCGAGCTGTCTGTCAACTTGGCTCAAGTGGTTCCCGGTTCCCAGTTCCCAATCCCTGGCCAATAGCTAGCTACTCCTCCTCCGCCTCCTCGTCCTGGCCACTCGATCGATTCCCGCCTCTGACAGCGGCACAATGCGGATGCGGATGCGGATGAGGAAGCGGAGTGCACTTGTCGCCATCATTGACATCAATGCATCGCAGCTGGCTTTTTAGCTGTCGCTGCTCCTACCAAATGAGGAGAAATGAGGGCTGAAGGGGGGTTGAAGGGACGATGGGACGCAGGACCAAAAGGACCCAGTGGGTGGTGTTGGCCAAACACTTTGGCATAATTTCCAGCGAATAACTAACGGGCGTGGCCCGCGCATCGATAGCCTCCTCATCCAGCACACAGTTCCAAAAAAGACGTACAGCATCAACGGATGTCAAAAGCAGGACAATTTTTTGGTTTTGTATATAACTTAATATAAAATAAAGTCAACTATAGTTTAAAATAAGTGGCTAAATATGGTCTAATAAACTAATTCAAGTAAACTAAAAACTCAGAAACATATTAGAATAAGTATTACATAAATCGAATACATAAATTACAGTTCTCAGAACAGCACTAACATAAATTTTAAATAAATCATGCTTAACTTTCAGTTTAGTGCCATCTCCGCTTATTTCGTTATTTTTGTTTAGTAAACCCAAACTTTATCCTTAATGTTAATTGGTATGGAATTCAAAAGCTTCCACTTTCCTCACAGAATTGGATTTCGATTTTTCAGGATATCAGACTGTGGCGATTTTTCTACCATTTTATAGAAATGCGCCCAAATAAAATTAAAAAAATTTAGTATGTTTAAATAAAGCTTAGACTTTAAATAAAAAAAACGAGTTTTATTTAAATCACGTCGCGACGCAAAGTTTGAAACCGAATGGAATTTTTTTGTAGGAGAAATTAATTTTCTGTCACATTTTATTTGAACTCTAATTGAGTTCCTTAAGTTAAGTTAGCGACTGAAATGGACAAGGTGTGACCTATTATATATTTTTGTCCCTTTTGTAATTTTTTTCGTTCGAAATCCAAACGTCAACCCTGATTAAAATTGATATGGATACTTTAAAGTTCCCATTTCTCTAATATTTAAATTCAAATGAGACAATGACTAATCTTTAATTTTTTAAATCAATATCGACTCTAAGTCTTTAAAATTTAAATCGTTTAAATATATTGATTACGAATCCTCATATTTTTATATTACCTGTCATTCAGTTGCCACAATTTTTTGTAACATGCGATTCATCACTTTTGATTGATTTATTGACTTTTTTCAAACACTTTTTGTATGTCAGATTGAATTATTCATGTTTTGATTTTTGTAAAGATATTTGATGAAAAAGATGTTTGTGAGAAAGCTGAATGAGTTTCGGTTTCCAAGAGCCTTTGTATGAAAGACAAGCCTTATATTTCAATTTCATCTTATTGGGCTACAAATATATTTCATATTAAAGTATTATATGTATTTTCGGCTGAAACAAAGGAAGATACAAAATTACACCCGTTGAGTACACTTAAATTCGAAAATAATTTCCCCAACTTACGCATATCCCCACTTTCAGGGCGAAATCATCGTATTTTTCTCTCTGCAGGTGGCAGTCATGCCGTGTCATATTGAAAGCAGCTTTTACTGTCCGAACAGCAGGCTCAGAAAAAAAATAAAAACCCTTTATGCAATCTGCATACAGGCGAACAGATTTCTTTGTGCGAGAATTGATTGCATATTACGTATACGTAATGCCGCAAAAGCGCCATTTCTGCCATTTTCTGCCGCCACACGCACAGCACAGCCTCATCAATAACTAAAGCCGACAGCCTCGCCTTCCATTCCAAATGAAGGTGAAAAGTGGGTGGTGGGGTAGTTAAGGGGGCGTGGCAGCCAAGTTGTTAGCACGCTCGACTGATATTATTTTTTGCTCCTTTATGAATTATTCGCAAACGCATTGATTCGCTGAGGAGGAAATCCCCAAGCCAAAGGCAACAAGGAAACCAAACGAAAGGAAGGCGTCTTGCTGTGAAATTTTCATTTGGGTTTTATTTACGTTCAATCGAGTTTTCGCGAAATTAGTTAAGTTTAGCGTGAATTTTATTATGCCAGGTAGAAAGTCGAGCAAACTTCTTAATTAAAAGATTTGCCCACTGATTGGGTATTTGGCCAAGGTATTTGGAAGGTAAATGTATATTCAATTTGTTAAATACATTCGAGTGCCATTGTCTGCGGCGATAATTGCCAGAGTTGTCGGGGAATCCGGATGGTGACCCCGACACAACCGCCACCCTCTATAGTCTGGCCATAAATCTCATTTCATTTTTGCCCAGCCAGCGCAAATAAATCCACAGATATGAGCCGAATGACCCTAACTGACCATTCGACATTGCACTCTGAACGAATTTATTTACGGCAGTTGTTATTTTTACGAGAGTCTCTGCACAAAATGTTGCATAGAGCTAAACCACACACAAACTAATGCCATTTCCGAATTTAATTCTGGGGCACAGGGCTCTCTGGAATCTCCATTTAAATCAATGTTGATGCTTGCCTTTGAGGCCATTTAATTGCGGAAGGTGAAATACTCGGTTCATAAGGAGGCAGAAAGCGCTGAAGCGTAGGAATTTTGTTCATTGAGCAGCCTGGGCAATTTGACTTAAATTCCATAACTCGATTACCCTTCGATGCTTTAAATTTGAGTTTAATTAAATTTCATTCCAGTTTAAGTTAAAGTACCAATAACTATGGGTTTCGAGCAGTGAATTTCTTTGTGCAGATGAATTTAGTTATCAGAAAAAATGTTAGATTACAACTTGTGGGCTATTTTTAATTGAAAATTGCTATTTCTTGAAAATACTGTTTTATTTTATTCCAAGCCCAATTTTATTTTTTTTTAATTAGAAAATTATGTATTTCATAGGTAAATTAAAGTTCACCGAAACATCAAATTAAAATGGAGTTTTTAACTTAATTAAAGAATGGTAATATTTTTATAAATAACAGTCACAGTAAGAGTATAAAAAACCCATCTAAAAAATATCAAAATTGCAAAATAATTTATTACAAATCTTTTATGTATCTATTTATTATATTTCCTGTTTTTCCAATTTGACTTCAAAAGGTGACTTCAAGGGACATTATTGACAGGTGAGTTAACCATCCGTTTTTCAAAAGCTTTTGATCTTCAGCTGGTTAAAATTGAACTTGCTCATGTAGGTGGGACCAAGTTTGGGTCTGGGCAACCGGCAGGGTCCCCGTTTGCTGTAAAGATTACAAGATTATGGATCAAAAGATAGGCTTTCTCGATTCAAACTCACCAAGCGCTATGAAATTGGCTTAAACTCTCATTAGCTTCGCGCTGGCTTTGCGCTTCCTTACTTGAGATCGTGTTGGTCCTGTGACAATTGCAGTGATCATGGAGCAAGGACCTCAGCTGGCTGTTGGCATTCTGATGACCACCTTGTCTTAAAATCTCGGCCAACATCTTGGCCAGCAAGTGCTCCAAAACCTGTTCGGGATTGGGTCGACTGGCCAAATGGGGATTCACATAGTGCATCACCTGGTGAACGGTTCTTTCGTAATCCACCGGAAGTCCTGTATGACGATCCATGCGAAATAGCTTAGGAATCCGCGTTTTTTGCTTGGGTTTCTTCTGAACCACAGTCCTGCGCCAAATCCTTTGGCTCGGTGGCACAGAGGATTGCTTTGAAATGGGTCGATTGGCCGATTGGAACCGGGTCTTCAAGAAACGCTGCTGCTGCGGATCCGTTTTCGGCTTTTTCTGAGCGGAGCTCTTCTTTTTGGCCATCGATTTGACACGAACTGGCTTTGTCGAAAGCATTATGGATTTCTGTATCAACGGAATAATTTTGCGTGGCTCTAAACGTTTGCTTCTAAATATCTAGATATCGAGAAAGTCTACACAAAGCCATCTATTTGTTTAGACAATAAAAATAATATTTGAAAAAGATGCATAAAAATTAAAAAATCTAAGAAATCACTAGAGATTTTAAAATGTTTTTGGCTGTGTACAACATTTATTCGAATGACCTGCCGTTTTGCAGATGCAAATACTATTTAACTGAGAACATGATTACAATTGCCGTGCCAGATTTATGATTTCATTGCCCACACACACGGCACACGGCTGTTGCAGACTTGTTTCAGACACAAGTTGTGAGCTGATGTGGCCACAGCCCAACTTAACTTTTGAAACAATGTCAAACGCAATAAACGTGTGAGTGTGTGTGGAGTGTTAAACCGCATTGTTTAAAACGCAGCGCCGGCGAACAATGTAAATCGTACATGCGAGAGTTGCACAGGGATATAACATATAGTACATAAGTACGCAGATATACGTATAAATTATACGAGATACGGGCACCCACCCACACGAACAATAACAAATAGTGGCACACACTCAGCTGGATTGCAAAAGACGCAGCAGAAATAGAACAAAAGCAATATAATTAATCATCGAAGAGCAGGCCAAGCAGAAACAGCATGCTGTTAAAGCAGAGCAGCGGGAGCAGAAGCAAAAGCAGAAACAGAAACAGCATCCCGGCATCAGGATCACATCTAGAATTAGAGCCCTCCCTCGTGGCAAGCCTCGAAAACGACATTTGCGGAGCAAATATTGTTGCAACATTGCTAGCAACATAATTCACATTAACGGTTTGGAGAGTCGTGTGTGGAATGCTCTATTGCACATATATTTTGAATTGAAAATATATAAACGATTACCAACCAGTTTTTATATAAATTAACAAAGTTATCAATGATGGTCCTTCGAGCCGGATGATTACTAAAACCATCACTTGTTGCTCCAACAAATACGAAACTACAAATACTAAAAATTACTTTTACTTTAAAAATAACAACCATTTGTACATTCAAAAATATGTTATAAAGGGACCTTCAAACCGGATTTTTTCTTTCTAGGTAATAAAATAAAATAATTTGTATGTATGTTACTTATCCATTTATTTCAAATTTAAACCAATAATGTTAGCACATTTTACTGCTTTACATTTGTTTAGTCACAAAAACCTGAGAATTTGTTACCAAAACTTAGTGCTAACAAGAATTTCATTGGGTAAATAAATTTCGTAAATCCTCAGCGTCAACAAATCGATATGGCAAGCCCCGAAAACAAATCCGAAATGAAGAGTACTAATGACACATACTTGTTTTTGGCACGGGGCGTGGCCCAGAAGGGGCGTGGCACTCGCAGCGTAGTGTTTATGTTGCAGCTAGATGCACTGCTGATGCGATTGATGCAACTGCAACTGTGCAACACAGTGTGTGCAATCAATTATGCTGGATGGGTTATGTAGCCACCGATGCCAGAAGCTCACCCACAATGATGCAGTGTGTGCAGCTGTCAGGAGTCGGAAGCCCATCATCGATGGCAGGCTATATGGACTATATAGATCCAATTCCATTCGATTCGCAGCACTCAGAGTCTTATCCCAGGCTAAGTTTTATTAAGGGGGCGAAATTGAAAAGCATTAATGTCATTTTTTATAACAAAACGTCAAATTTGATTTTTTATTTAAAGCCACGCAAGCAGACAAAGCCAAGGAAATGACTTCACACCTTCAACGCCCTCTTTGCAAAACTCTGGCGAAGAGAAAGAAATGGATCAAATATAGATTTATGTGTTTCATGTCAAAATAAATGGATTTTACATGTTGCCACAAAGCGTTCGCCGCCGACTCGGAATCCTTGCGTCACAGGACGTGAGGGCGACAACAACAATGAAAAAATAACGTGGCATTAAAATGTCATTTCATACTCATACAAACAAGCTCATATAACGCTCCCTTTTGTCGGGGGTAGCGAAATATTAAGTTAATATGTTTGATCTGGGGGTGGGTGTAGGTGGTTCTGTGTATGTGGAACTCCTCCTTTGATCCCTGGAAATTTAGCAAAGTGCAGACAGGATATTGGCAGCTGCTTGCAGCCACACAGGATATTAAAGCCATAAAGATGAAATATTTTCAGCGCTCAGCAATCAGGTGGGATCCCGAATCCGTAGCTAGACAAATTCCCCCGAACAATGGGGATTATTCAAATTATTTCCCACTTCTCGAATCTGACAGCCCGTCACAGTCACCTCGCAGTCACATCGCAGTCTCCTCGAAAACCTGGCACGTCTATTTGTGTTTGCTCTCCCGATTCCCGATTCCCATTGCCTACTTTCCTCCCCCCATATCGCCACCCACTCCAGTGTGACACATGATGCCATGTCATATAATTTATCAGCGCATTATTGGCATTCAACTCGCGTCCTGACATTGCCCTGAAAGGCCAACAAAAAATTTCTGCTCTCGCTGCCCTGCAGTGCCACCAAGTGGCACATGGCCTGCCCCAACTCAGTCAAAACGCCACAAACCATATATGGCAAAATGCACAGGAAGTTAAGAGGGGTTGCTTCTGAATAATACCATTCTTATTTTGAAACAATAGATTTTTAATCCAAATTATTTAATATTTATTTCTATTAATTTAATACAAGGTATTCGAGCCGGATTATTCTTAAATATGATTGAAACATTAAACTTCAGCATTTATCTCCATCAGTAAATCGTCTTTATGGCATTGCACTTTTAATATTTTATTACAGTTATTTATTGTATTTATTTATTTATGGTCCTTCGAGCCGGATTGCTTGGAATTTATACTGAAACTTATTCATTTATATCTCCATGATTTAAGGGTCTTCAAAGTACAACACCCCAATTTCTCTCAGTGCCTTGCCAGCTCCCTTGAGCTTTGTTTTCATTTCTCCTCTTTTCTTTTCCTTTCTTTCCTTTCCTGCTTTTCATTTTGATAAATATGTGGAGGGCAGAAATCTATCATTTCGCGTGTCGCATAAATAAATACATCAAGAGGCAGCAGCAACACCCACCCACCCACACACGCAACACCCTTCCTTTCGGGTTCAGAGGGCACACAGCACACAAACTGTTAATCAACGGCAAATGGGGAATCCCCTTCCCTACGTTCCTCGCTGCTGTTGTTGTTGTTTTGACTGTTGTGCTGGGGAGTTGGCAATTTGTTTAGTCGTTAAACTTTTTTAGCGTTTCGTTATTTAATGCAAATTGATGATAACGGGCAACGCGCTAATGAGTATACGAGTATGTACACCGGATGGGAAGGGGCTTTCGACTCATAACCCATTCTTTTGGGAAGACCCTAAATAGAATGTACCAATTTACCAGCACAAGCGCAGCATAAATATCCAACATCCTCATACTCGTTGGTAATCAACGAGCGTTCTAGGAACTGTCGACACTGCTCGAAAAAGAGGGTAAATAAAATGTATTTAATTTATTTTTAGGGAACTTACATGGGAAACTCATCCTTTCATTTTCTCCCGGTGTCCTTAAAGCCATAAATAACACACACAATTGGCGCATTTGTGGTTGTTGTTTCGCCTTCTCCAGTGCGACACCTTTTATGTGTCCGGGGAGCCTCAGTTTGTTAAATGAAATTCGTTAAAAGTCCTGCCAAAGGAGTGGAAAAAGGCGCCCGAAACGAACAGCCAGCTGCTGGCATTGCCAAGAGCACTTTTCCTGCGTTTTCGGCTGGCTTTCGGTTACGTGTGCAGTCAATTCCACTCGGCTGCCCATTGAAAAGTTTTGCACTTCGCTGCACAAAGGACATGGAGGCGAACGGCAAAACCTTCAGAGGGCAGAGGGCAACAGCAACAACATCAAGGCCACCGAAACGGGTTGCGAGTGGGAGGGGCTCTTAATCGTAATACCTCCCACTGCTGCGGGGTGAAAAACTAAGCACTAGACATCATAATACAACTTTGAGACAACCTCCTCCTCCTCCTCGAGCGATAATAATTTATGTGCCATGCTAAAAACATTGTTGCATAACTTCATTTCCATTTCCGGACTTCTTTCCCGAAAAACTTTGGCGCTTATTGAACTCCCATGAAAATGCGTCACTGCGAAAAACACATAAGGACAATATGCATACACAGAAAGAAATATATCGAGATTAATTGATCTATTAATCGAAAAATATCAAAAAAGATAGATAAAGAAGTTTTAATTTTTGAACATGATACTTTTCCTTACATTTTTTCTGGAATTTCATAATCTATTGTTTTTGGAAATATAACTTTTTGGACTTTTCTTTCCAAAGATCGAAAAATATGGAAAACAAAATAGGTTAAGAAGTTTTAACTTCCGTTTTTCGAACATGATATTAATTTTCCCGACATTTTTGATTAAATTTTTAAGGATTTTCATAATCTAAAAATTTTTTATTGGTGCAGCGAACGGAATGGGTGAGCAACTTTGTTGTGTCCTACAATATCTCGGAAAGGCTGAGGGACCGAATACTCAAGCGGGAGGGCCAGTCCATTTCCTTGACTACCGAAAACACTCGATAGCCAAGACCACGGCCATTACAACAGCCGATGATGTGGTGGGGAGGCACTCAATTGGTTGGGATGGGCTGGGGAAACTGGGATGTTGGGTCGTTGGGAAACTGGGAAGCAGATGACCACCGGACGGCGGTGATATGACCGCAAAACCAATACGAGTGCCAGGACGATTCGATTTAATGGAAAATCGACCGCAGAAACAGCAACAACTTAAGCGATTCAGAAATTGCAGCCCCGAATCCCCGTGATCCCCGCCGACTTTCCACATCTGACACACTTTTGGGACACTTACATACACACTTAACCGAGAATCTGGCCTCACGGGCCACGCAATTAGGGGGCTTAACCACTGGCCGACGGGCCTTGAACTGCGCTATATGCTATCTGCTATCTGCAGCTGAAGTATGAGGGCGCCCATCGACGATATATTGAAACTTGAAAGCATTAAGCGAACGGCGGACCGGCGAAAACCAAAGCGAACCGCGGCGCAATTACGGCGGAATCGGTATT